AATACATACACTGTACACATACAATGATGAGAGTACTAAACAGAAGTAGTAATATAACTAGTTACTAAAAGTCTATATGGCACACATTGTAAAACATTACAGACAATAATTCATTTTAATTTCAACTATACTGAATCTGTGTTATCTAATATTTTTATTCAGTTGGACTTTCCAGTCTTAGATTATGTAAATCATAATTTTAGATTTATTTTTAAAATACATCCTTAAATACTTAAAAAAAAAACTTGAAATGTTTTAAATACAGTTTAATAAAAAGAAATACCAGCACAAACAAATCACCATTATTTTCATTCTACTTGACTTATTGTGATTCAGCAAATAACAGCTTAAAACTTTACTTCCATGTTAAAATATCGGTGCTGTAATTTGACGAGATTTTCAGTATTTAAATACAAAATAATTTAAATATCAGAACACTTTTAGTAACATTCATTTCACACTTGCTTTAAAGCAATAAACCTATAAGACAAGAGGTCACGGACCTGGATGAGTAGCTGGTCTTTCACTAGTGGGCCGTAGTTTTGGCATACCTTGGGCAAAAAGCCCTCCTAAACCAGCTGGAGAGTTCACTTTTTCAGCCGATCGATCATTTGATCCTTTAGAAGCTGTAAAAATTAAAAAAGAACTTATGAATATCATTTAAAAAAATACCCTCAGTATGATTTCTTCAACTATCTTTTATTTATTATTACCAGCCTTGTGAATGCAAAAACACATATATTCAGGAGCCTAACAAAATAGTACATGAAGACACGTATAACTAAATCCCTTATTTCAAACAAAACCACCTCTGAGGGAACCTTAAAACATAGCGTGAATTTAAAAGTCTAGTGTGTAATTATTGAAAATGTTTTATTTTAATTTCATGTTAATATATTCAATATTCTTCCACATACAACATTTTAGTTCTTACTTTTTCAGATTTAAAGTCATGACTATGCATTAAATTTAATCATTCTTTTGACCTTATACTTTTTTAAATAGTTTATGGAAAAAAAAACTTGGCACTTACAAGCGATTTGGGGAGCACTCCGATCATTTGTCACTGCCTTTTTTAATCTAGTTCCATGTCTTATTTCAGAAAGAAGTGCATTACGGTCTTTTGTATTAACTGATGGAGGAGCTCCAGATGAAGGAGGTGGTGGGGGAGGCGGTGGCGGCATATTTTATTTTGTTCAAAATGTACGAGTTAAACTATTCATCTGAGAGAAAAATAAAAAAGCCTATACATAAATATAACACGTATTATTTGAAAAGGATCATAAGACAAAGAATTTATGTCAAAACAAAAACTAGAAAAAAAAAGTTTCGTAATTTCCATAACATCTAGAATTTACAATAACCATATCAAATAATTTAAAAGTACATAACCTTATCCAAAAATAAGTTATTTTACCTAGCCCATTATCTTGTACTTTTGGTTCTGTTTAACTTTCCACAATAAGTTTATTTTCTCCACAACGAATACACACAGTTTGGTGGAAAGCACTGACAAAACCTCTGAATAAATTAATCATCTATTAGAGAACACAACAATAAGGCTAATATGTTGGAACTTAACTTTTTCTAAAAGTATAACACTTGAAAAAAGATGATTAACTAAATTTTACTAAGTTGTTCAGTTGTCAAGTATTTTTAACTTTTATTGAAATTCCTCCTAGTACTAGTAAAAATTTATAATTTTATAATTAAAATGAAATTGAAATACAGTAGTTATTTCCCAGTTGATAACAAAAATATACACTAAGAATAAACTTTATTACCAACCACAGTTCAAAACTTGTATATTCAAATAAAGATAGCAATACCACTGTCAGAATAAGAGAGGAAAAACACTGATACAGAATTTACTCGTATCCTTCATGTTATATCTCTAGACATGCTTACTTTAATGATTTTTTACAAAATCGGAAATTAAAAAGACCTGATCCTGTATGTTTCATTATTTCTGAGGCTGAACTTGATACCAAAATTGGCAATTTCATATACATCAGAGTGATATATATACATGTTGAAAATAGTTTGTACTACCTTTCAGACTGCAAACATATTAAGGAAACTACAGTGTCACACAAGTATGTAACCAGGATTCTCGTAATGTTGGTACTGGAAAAAATATTATAAACGACAATGAAAATGGGGGGGGGGGGATCACTGATAACCAGCGAGTTTTCCTGTGATAAGCACAAACAAATCATTAACCCTTAATAACATCATTGAAAACCATATATGAGCAAGTCGAAATTCTGCCATAAGAGACATTGGGGCCCGGAATAAAAAAGGGGAAACAAAAGCATACAGAGAGAAAGAGATGAGGCCAACTTTATCACACAAAATCATTATGAAGAAAATGATTTGGAATCAAGGGCTAAAAGCACAAAATGCGAGAGAGAGAGCCATCAATAAAGAGACTACACCAAAAATACATGCAAATATTTATTCAGAAACATGAAAAATTTTAACATGATCAGATAATTGATCCACGATTCAAAAACAACCTTGTGAAGATGTCAACATCAGAAGGTGCTGAAAACCTTTGAGCCCAAAACAGGATAAAAAAATATCCCCAGAAACTCTTTTGGCAATGGATATGGTGTTATAGGAGATGATAAAAAAATTAATGATATGAACCCAAACTACTCAACTGTGGAGAGGGGCACAAAAATGGGAGCATGCTTACTTAGCAGTAAAATGAAAATATTTTAAATGTATAAGCTATCAGTATATCAAAATAATCAATTTTTCTTACATTAGAAACATTGGAGTGCACCATATAACATTATTCTCAGTGGAAAAAATAACTAATAATTCTGAAGTCCAGAGTTTTCATAGGATGTCTTAGCAATAAATTTATACATAAAAAAAAAAAGTGAAAACATCACTCAAATAAACATTTATGGGCCAATAATATTTAATTGAACACACACTGCCTATTACATATACAAGCTATGCAGGTATAGAGGAGAATATAAAAAAACTAAACCAGTCAACATACAAATCTTTGTGTATTATCATTGCTGTTGCCATTATCAGTGTGAGACCTCAGTAACATGTAGCTATACTAACACCAAAAAAACAATGGAGATAAAAGAGATTGAGATTTCATCAGTGATAAATACCTAAAACCTTTGACTACGGCAAAAAAGCAAACTACACATCTTTAAAAGAGTCCACCAAGGTCATTGCTACATTGTACAAAACTTTCATAAAACTTTATTTATAGAATTGCATGCGTGTTGACAGGAAGACAGAAGAGGTGGCTCATACATGCCATTTTATTGAAACTTAATACCCCTTAATAAATAGATTTCTGCCGACACCTTGGCATGCAGTTAATGAGATGATATATACATGTTGAAAATAGTATAAAGATGAGTTACTAGAGCTACCTTGGATGGTACTGTATAAATGAGCTTCTAGTACACTAAGAACTACACAAGAGAACAATTAACAAGTTAGATTAACATATCCATTAAATCAGGGCTAGAAAATTGGTTTCACAATATAATAAAATGATTATAAATGGGTTTTTTTTCTGATTGTAAAGATGTAGCTAGTGAGGTCTCAATGTTTATTTTAGGTCATTTTGTTGCTTATAACTTACATCAATGAATTGGATAGTTTCTTCAACAGTAATGTTTCAAAATTTTCTATAGATTTTGACAGACTTTCTATGAATATTTTGGAACCAGAAGGTTAAAAACACAAACCTAAATATCAGGTATAATACATTTAAATTTTGGAAGCCAAGATTCAGACTTGTTTTTTTGACAAAAGTATTATTTTTGGTTATATACTTAAGGAATGGTTTGACTGATGGTGCGGTGTAGAGTTAGAATTTTTTTCAAAGCTTTTGATTTTAAAGTTTTTTATGCATTGGTATACTTATGTGAAGAGCTGCATACATTTACTTTCATAGTGATGACTTGGTAGGTGAAAGGGACCCTCAGTGTGCTAAATTCCCTTCTGTTACCTAGCACAGAGTTGTGTTTATACAGAATTATGCATAAATAATACGGATAAAAAAAATTACACTGCATTTCTAAAACAGATTTAACAAGACGTATTGGTTTAAACTACCAAGTGTTTTCATGTAATGCAAGATGAAAAACATTCCACAGCTCGATGAATCCTTTCAAAAAACAAAACAAATTAACGTATTCTAAAGCCATGCAAGTTTGTGACCTTTAACTTTTTTTTTTTAATAAAAAAAAAAATCTTGAATTCTCAAAACTAAATTTTCTCTGTAGCATAACAAACTTCAGAAGTGACTTTAGATATTTCAAACTAATAGGAGTTTGGAAAAAACAACATAGTGAGATGTAAATGAAATATGGTGTAAAACTTGTAATAATTAGATAAAACAGAAAAACTTGTTACTGAGTGTAATACATCTGTGTGTAGTAAAGAACAATGAAGTACAATTTTTCTAATTACAGGCATAATAATTATGTATCGTTATTGTATTATTACTGTCTACCAATACAGAGATGGAAATAATAAATTAATGCACAGTGAGTACAAACTTTAAGGAATAGAATTAAAGGGATTTATTAAACCATAAAATATACGTTGTAGAGGCATTGCTAGGCACTGGCAATTTGGACCTATGCCCCAAAGTTTACTATGCCTATGGGCCCAAGCTCGTAATCTACCTAACAACCTCTGATACAGTGATTAGTTTATACAATGAGTTGCTGTTGGTAATAGCAATGGCCAAAATCTTACAAGTTTAGAAGGGAAATTGATGATTTCCTGAAACATAAAATATGGGTTTCAAATTTTTTTTTCAAGGGTAGGTGTGAAGAGATATCCTTCAATAATCACGTAGTCCTTTGTCTGTACATTATGTTATAATCTCAAACTTTGCTTGCTTCTACCATCTTCAGTGTCAATATGGATGACTGACACAAATGTAGCAGGCACTTGTAATAATTTTTATACCACTGTAAATGTAATATAACAGCTAAAATGTGTTAAGTATTTCATTTATAAAATTATACATACAACTACGTAAACAGATAAAATCTAGTTTAAACTTTAAACACTCAAAAATTTAAAACTGGAAATACTGATATTGTAAAGTTATAAATCATTTGTAATCTTATAACTTCAGTACTTAAAAAAGTTACATTTAACATTGGACTTTCACTTATTTACTATTAAGTTACTGATTTTAGTTCTACTTTTTAGTTTTATTCAACTCGATGCATTACAATCTAGTTACTTACAAATGCATTAGGTTAACATACTTTGGGGAAAATAAAATACAGTTTTTCATAAGCCATACTTCACGACTCCAATACTAATACGAAATGTATAATATTTAAAAAGAATACTATTTCCTTTTTTTTTTTCAATGTAGGCCTTGTTCAAGAAGTAGGAACACCAAAACGTAGTTCATAAACCTTACTTAAAGTTAAACTTCTACCCCTACCCCTAGCCAGCGCCCTCTATATACGTGCGATTTTTGCATATGAAGATAAATACGATGAAAGGGATGGGAAAACATTCTATTTACATGATTCATCAAATGTTTCGAAATATACTTATTTCATCGTCAGTTGAAATAAAGTTGTATTAGTATTTACAAGTACAAATTAAATAAAGTATCAATTTAAAACATTAAAATATTGGAGAACATGAAGCTTAGTAAACATTGAGAAAAAATGAACACTTCAGCTAACACGAATAAACCACGAAATAAACAAAAACATTTGTCAACAATAGGGAAAATATGTTGATACATAAATATTGTAAAATGAAAATTATTGTTAATACATAATTCACAATATTAGAATGCGTGAATTATAGAATACTAGTTGTTTTCAATTAGAATTTTCTTTAATGAAAAGTTTAAACTCTGTAGATATAATTGTAATAAAGTTGTTTACTGACATACCATGACCTTTGGTCGAATTGCTGCGTAACAGGATTTCACTAGGTAAATTAGATCACAAACGGGCCCCAGCATGGCCAGGTGGTTAGGGCGCTCGACTCGCAATCTGCGGGTCGCGGGTTCGAATCCCCGTCATACTAAACATGCTCGCCCTTTCGGCCGT